AGCAGTCTGTCAGTCTCTGTTCTCTAGATTGGTATTAATTCAGAACGTGACAAAATCTACAACTTAAAAATACCTCCCAAAGCTAAATAGAAAAGACTTGAATTTATTACCCCCTAAGAATTTTTTCATGTGTCCCGTAGAAATATCAGGACCTATGATTTGACAAATTAGCAAAACGTTTTGAGAGATTCTCCAACAGACTGACACAAGGATGTCCATAACAGTCTTACTCCATTATAGCTCCAAACCAGGAACAGCCCAGGTGCTGATCACACTTGAGTCAGTGAACACATTGTGGTCCATCCATGCAATACAATACTACCTGTCAATAAAAAGAAATGAACCACTAGTGCACGAAACAGTATGGATGACTCTCATAGACATGCTAAGTGAGAGATGCCAGACGCAGGACGAACACATACTGCGTGGCTTCATCTGTATACTTTCAGGAACAGGCAAAACTAGACTCTGGGGACAGAAGTCAGAAAAGGCTTGTGGGGTTGGCTTTGTAATTGACTGGAGGGGGCGGTGAAGAATCTTTCTAGGTAGTGGAAATGTCTATCTGGTTTTGGGTGATGGTCAGACTGGTGTATACAGTTGAGAAATGGTGTATACTCTTTGAGAAAACTCTTTGAGCTAAACAAGATCTATGCACTTTTTGGTCTGTAAATTATACTGGCAGCAAGAAATTTTAAAATACTTAAAAGGAGGAAATCCTTGGAATTATCGTATTCCTCTTTTAAATTCTTTGGCTGACATTTGGAAATGTGGAAGTGAGGGTACACAGCCACCCCACATCACACTAGGAGTCGTTTTTGGGGCAGTCGTGTACACTTAGGATTTGTGAATGGAGTCACACCCAGGACGCTACCTCTCTGCCTCCTCCAGCTGCGGTTTCTGGTCATCCCAGTGCAGAGGAGCAGAGCAGGGAGCCCATCCCCTAGACTGGACCAGAAAGCTGGGTTTCAAAGCTACGGCTGAAAGTGATCATCTTCAGGGTCTCTCTGCGGGGTGGATAGACCTGACGGCAGGGTTTATTGACCGTTGTTGTAGATGACAGCTTTTCATAGTGTATGTGTTTATTTTAAAATGGGGGCTTAAATGGCTGCAACATGAAATAATTTTAGCTTGCTTTTACAAGAAAATCCTCTATCACATATGAATATTTGATTTGTATAAATCAAATTGAGGGTGGTGTATGCATTACATTATAATTTCTCAGCACACCGTAGTTTTTGTAGGTACTGGAATTTTATAACAGGAAAGGACCTGCATGGTTTATTCCTGTTATACAGATGAGAAAACTCTGCCCTCATGAGGCTGTGAGACTGGCTAGATTCACACAGGAGAGTTGGTGATGAAGCCAGAACAAACCCTGGTCCCGTGATTCCCAGTTCCATGCTCTTCCTCCTCTGCCAGGTGTTCCTGAACAGGAGCGAGGCATAATTTAATGACAGACATGACAGTGACATAGGGGCCAGAGGCCAAGCTTGGCCAGTCTAAGGTGCTGTGGCCGACGACAAGCTGGAGTCCATCAGCCCAGGCCAATGTAATGAGGATAGTCTTGCCCTATCATGCCTTTAGGAATATAGTTTGGTGATATGGAATACAATTTTTAAAATGTCACCCTTTGACTTGGTAATTCTGTCAAGGTCTCTAGGAAACTACCCTGAGGAAACCATACCTCCCTCCCTTGTCAACAAACAAAAGAAAACAAAACAACTTTTGCATAAGTGTTTATATTACTGTGTTATTTTTAAAAATAAAAAGCTAGACTATTCTAAATAACTTACGTGAATAGTTAAGTAAATTGGCATGTATCTCAAATATAAAATTGCATGCAGCCATTGAAAATTATTCAAAATTACATGAAACATGTGCTTATATTATGGTATGAAGAGAAAAATCAAGATACAATTGATAGGTTTCAACTATGCAAAAAAAATGCAGCTTTCTATATTGAGCATGTACCATTTTTGTGAAATTGATGAATTATTAAAGTGCTAAATGCCACCGATCCACTTAGTGGCAGTGCAGAGGTCGCTAACTGTGTTACGTGCATTACTATGGATGGTTTATATGGCCGTGCCTTTTTCCCTGGTCAGGTGGAGGGTCCAGAGTATGAAGAACTTGCCGCTCTCCACGATTCCGTGCATCAACAGTCTGTTTCCTGGTTCGCGTCTCTCCAGGATCGCATGAAAGAACAAATTTTAAGTCATTTTGGGGTAATGCCAGACAGAGAACCGGAGCCTCAGGTATGCTCTCCTTTTTCCTTTATAATTCTGTTATTTCCTGCTGTCATGTGCTGAGCCATCGTTCTGGTGGAGAGCCTGGCAGTACGATGCTGGGTACCCCAGTGTGGTTGCTTATGAGCCAGCTCTTCTACTAACAGCCCAAAGGAGCACCTACTGTGGTAGCACAGGACTTGTGAAGCAAAACACCAAAGGCTTTCTAACAGAACAGTTTCTTTTCTAACAACATTTTATTCTGCTTGACTGTCAGTTTGCAGCCCTTTGCTTCTTTCACTCACATCTTAAAATTTAAGTAGTAACTTTATTGTATTGGCACGAACACTCCACCTTCGGCACATAGCATTGCCTTGCACCTGGTATACAGATGTTGAATAAGTGAAGAGAAAAATCCCATCCTTCTTGTGACATTAGAAGCATGACTTCCCTGTCCTATAAGGACACTGCCGCCCAGCTGTCATGGGCTTTCTCCGATGCTCCCTACGCGTACTCTTGGTGACGCTGATTCTTTAAGCAATGAATGAGCTTCAGGTTTGTGGAGCATTTCTAAGCTCAGGTGGCCCTCTCCTCTGCATTAGATGGGAGAGCCAGGCTGGGCTGGTTTAAGATTGTGCCTGAGAGCGTATACCTCCCACCTGTACACGGATGCCCAGCTGTCAAAGACAGTATGGGAGGGGGATTGGCTCTCAGCTGGTTTAGGGTGATGTGAAATGTCTTTTGTGTCTTTCCCCATCCACTTTAACTTTTTTTTTTTTTTCTATCTCTTGGCGCTTCTATCTTTTACCCCCTGCCTGAATTCTTTCTTTTCCAAACACAGAAAAATGCGTTAACTGCCAGAAATAGCCATTAAGTCCTTTCTAACTTGCCCTTTTTGCATAAGCCTTTGTTCTACAGTGTCCTGGAACTCAGACTCAGAAAACATGATGGTTAGACTGACTTGCATTAGGATATGAGTCATTCTTTTTCTAGGAGTTTTTGTTTATTAACCAAATTAATCCATCTCTACTTGGCAGGTATATTAGCTTCCGACTACTGCTGTTAAGAAATTTCACGAATGTGGTGGCTTAAAGCAACATATATATTGTCTTCCAGTCCTGGTTCTGCAGGCCAGACTATGATCCGGGTGATGGCAGCATGCGCTCCTCTGTGGAGGTTGTGAGGGAGAGTCTGTTTCCTTGCCTTTGCAGCTTGTAGAGGCTGGTGGCAATCCTCGGCTTCCTTCCTCCATCAGAGCCAGCAATGTTGCTTCTCTCCAATGGTCCTTCCAAAGCCACGTGTCCCTCTGACCACAGCCCAGAAAGGACCCTATATGAACACATTGGGCCCATCAGGATAATCCCCCCATCCCAAAGTCCTTAACTGAATCACATCCTCCAATTCGCTCTGCCATATAAGGTACCATATTCCCAGGTTTCAGGAATTAGAGTCTTTGGGGGGAACCATTTTTCTGATGACTACAGAGGGATTTTAGGTAATATATCGATTTTTAGATGAGGTCCTTCCCATTAAGCATGCTACTCAGTTTTCTTCTTTCTCTGCGAGATGAGGCGGGGAAAAGAGTGTGAATCTGTTTAAAAGGTTGTTTTCTCCATCTGTGCCTTTCTCCCTCTGAAGGGCAGGTTGATGTCTTCCTCACAGTGACTTGGGCTACCCCCAGTGAGCTTTGGCCACAGTGCTATTCCTAATCCTCCAGTATAATCTACCTCACCCTAAAGTAAGGCGACTCCAGAGTCCACCCTCCCGGCTCTTATTGGCATCCTGCACATTTTTGGAGGAGGAATAGAGTTAAGAATCCTAGACCCTAGAAACAAAAAGGCCTGGATATCTTGGTTCCAATACCAAGCGTATTGAGAACAAGTGTATGATTGGCTTTTGCCTAGCACTTAGCCCAGAAGTGCTCTGTTTGATTATGTGAAATAAAGGTTATTTGGTGGCATAATAATTCTTATGTATATAATTTGTGATAACTCTTACATATGACATGCATACACATATATGTTTCATACACTCATTTGCCACATTGAGTATGTCACTCAAACTTGTACACATACTTTTAGCCCTTACAGTATTATGCTTTATATGGCATGCTTAAGACGTAAAAAATAATAGCACAGAACATTGGAAAGTGAAGGTTAAAGTGATGGTCTTCTCCTCTGACCAGTATATACTCTTAACTGAAAGCTTGAGAGAACAGAAGCAACTGATTCATAGAATCTCCCCGTGGATCTTTTTGCAGGTTCTTCCTTTTGTGGTTCCCCCACCTTTAAATGTGTACCGTAAAAGTAAACGATGTATTTTGAGAGCTGAATGAATTGTGAAGTAGCTCTAAAATACAAGGTGGCCTTTAATTCTTGCTCACGTGTCTGTTGGCGGAGCAAAAGACTGAGTTGGGGAACAGGCTTGCATTTTCAGTGTTAATCTTGCTTTCCTCTCATCTCTTTTGCAGAGTAATCCCAGCGGCCCTGCCTGGTCCTGGTGGATCCTGGCCGTGCTGCCCCTGGAGCGCAAGGCTCAGCTGGCCATCCTCGGCATGACCTCACTCAAAGAGCGGCTCCTTGCCATCCGACGGATATTAGTCATCATCACGCGTAAGATGAATAGTCGGCAAGAGCTGGCTAATGCCAGGGAGAGAAATAATTGATTTTTCTCTCTGTCAAGGTTTCTGGAAGCCCTTGTACTTTTATAAATGTCAGGCATGGACGAATAGCCGTCCATTCATTGTGCTTTGTCAAGTGCTTGTGGATAAGGTTCCAAAATGGAACGCTTGCCAAACATTGAGTCCTCAAAAATGACAATTCTGTGTCTGGTGGGATCTGATCTTGTACAAGGTTAGCCTGAAGTCTGAATGGAGCCCATAGATGGGAAAAAAAAAGACCTAAGAAAATCTCTTGGAAGCAGGTGCTTGGGGAATGCAGTTCACTGACAGCACAGGACCCTGCAGATAGTTTACATGTGGTTTAGGTTTCACGAGAAAGAAGGATTCCCTTCCCAGTCAGTATCTTGCTCTGCCAGATGGTAAAGGCATGCTTTAGTGTGTAGGCAATATGGGGAACCACGTTTTTATCTGAAAGTGGATTTCTTAGAACACAGGCTAACCAAAACTACGCTTAGGCTTTGCGTGTTGCTGTGAAGTTGTCTGTGAAATTGAATAATCACACCATTGTTCAGTGCAGGAGCCCAAACTAGTCCTTACCCAAGAAGTAGTAGCCACCGGATAGAACTGTGTTTAATGTCCTGTTGTAGTCCCAGGTGTTGTGAATTGCATGTTGTAATCAAATGAATGTCAAAACATAAGAAAGTGTACCTTCGATATAGAAAAACCTGAGAACAGTATAGTTCACTGGAGGAGATATATATATATATATTTACACACAATAAAGTGAGCAAAAGTGAGTTAAAATTGTATATGCATTGGGATGTCAAACATAAAACCACCAAGTACAAAGAATGCCTTGAAAGTAGAACCTTGTCTCATTGCTCAGTGGTTACTAAGCATTTAGGAAACAGTCATCTTTTTCTGTTGGGATTTGCATTAGAAATTAGCCCCATCCATAAATTTCAGTTTACTATCCGTTTATTAATATACAAGAACATTAAAAATCTGCCACGCCATGGAAATCTGTCTGTTCCAGGAAAATAGATCAGAATGTACAAAGGGAGGATGGCTGGTATGGGATGTAAATATTCAGTAAGTTTTTCTCCAACACTAACCTAAAATTGTCTTTATTTTTTTGAAAGAAAGTTTTACGGTGATCAGACCAGGTGTTATCTGTTACAGGACAGTAGTGTAATTTCCATCGTGTGATGCACATTGGCGATATTGATTGGAATAACTGAATCTGAGATACTTATATGTTCTTTCTGGCCCAACCAGCTGGTACATTTAGTTGGCTTCCTCTGTGAGGTGGGTGTTCTTAACCAGAGGGTCACAACCACTAAAGAACACACCACAGCTGCCAGTTTTGCTTTGTTCATTGAAGGCGTATGTGAGGTTTCAGTTTTAAAATATACATATCTCATAATATACAATATTGATGGTATATCAATCCATCAGGCATTTTGTTAGAAAGATTTTATAATATTATTAATTTTTCTTTTAGTTTTCAGTAGATAAAACTCAGTCTCATCGTGGAAGTTAGAAAATACCAGCGTCACTTAATTATAAGGAGAAAATGTGAAAGTATTTTCCAATCCAATGTTTCAAGTGCCTCACTTATTGTGAATCGCAGCTATCATCTTGAGATGGTTTAATGGCAGCTTGGCCAAGTGATTTCTAAGAGATTTTATGAATTTATGCATTAACAATAGTATTCAGCTTTCTTAGGCATTATAACCTAACCTGATCATTTGATTGGAATAACTGAATCAGTCATTGACTGGAATAAAATAAAGAAAACAAAATGCATCTCACATGCCCGAAGACCTTTACCAGAAGTGGTTCGTGAAAATCGATGTGCGTTGACCATTCTCGGCCTTTCCCTTTTGGAAAATTTTTTTGTACCTTCATATCACAGCTGAATAGTTGTCATTGCTGTTTCCATTTGGAGGTGTCTAAATAACCACAATGTGATCACAGCTTCTCCACGAGCCTCCCTGAAGTTCAGTTGGTAAGCTTGCTACACCATTTGGAACCTGTTGCTTTCTCTTCCTCACTCTTTAAATGTCATAAGGTCACACAGTTCTTGGAATCAGAACTACTCAGTTATTTCTTCACCATTCTGCCTGGCTTTCTGAGCCTTCTCATTCTGCGTGTTATGTAAAAGCCTGAACAACAATGATGATGCAGACGAGAGCAACACACATTTTTATTTTTTGGTAGAGAGGTTTTTATTTTTTTGATACCAGAGGGAATTAACTATGATCACGTCGTGCTCTCTCTGTTCAGCATCACACCCCCGCATACTGCAGCGTGGGAGCAGATTGGTACTTACCAAGCACTTAGAAACATCATGCATCAGTAACCTGGTCAGGGTGACAGCATCCTACGGTCATGTCATGAAGGAAGCCTCCTTTTACAAACCTAAAAAAAACAACCCCCGGCTTCAGTTTGCTACCAATCAAGCTAAAGCAGAACGGTCTGCTTCCTCCTCCGCCTGCCCCCTTCTGCCTCTTTTCTGTTGGGGAGATGCCAATTCTAAGGGTTTCTCAGAAAATAATGTAATCTCTCATTCAATGTCAGGACATTCCAGCTTAATTGTGCTGAAAGTGCTCCAGCAGTCATGCTCTCGTTACATTGGAATAAAAGCAGAAAAGAGTAATAGCAGCGTGGGGAAGTCATTTTTCTTCTTGAGGAACAATACATGCTGTTCGGTATTTTTCCATTCATTGCCCAAACCTGCCTGTGTCTTTGAAATGCGAGTAGGATCCCAAAGGCAGCATTCTGAAAGCCTGTGGCATTTTTAGCATATCCCATCCCCCCATGTGTGTCCTCATCTTCAGAATCGAAAGGATACTTTTTAAAGTTTCAAAAGAAAATAATTTAAAATGTCAAGGTTTATGCATAGAAACACAATAATTCTTAACCAATTCATGTACCAAATTCAACAGTATTATCTCATTTTTAGGGTCACAAATTTTTTTGCACTTAAACCTCCTCCCTCTCTCAAAACAAAACAAAACAAACAACAACAAAGTAAACAAACAAAACAAAAAAACACATCAAGACTGTTCAACAAATTGTATCCCAACTTAATATATATTAAGTCTTACCACAGGACTTTTGAATCATCAAGGAACAATTGAAGTTTATGGATGGTAGAATTACAGTGAACTATGTTATTATCACTTTATTATAAACTTTTTGGAAAATTGACAGTTGTTACCATCAAAATACTCCATTGCCTGTATTACATCAAATTTGTTATAATTTTTAAGTGCTGTTAAAAAATACCCATCTGTTTCTTCTCCTTGTTTTCTTTTGTGCCCCACGACTTAAATTACTTGGGTAAATACCACTCTTCAAAATTTAAATACTATCTATCAAATAAGAAGAAGTGTGAAAGATACGGAGAAGAAAGGTGATAGCAAATTAGAAGAAAATAAGTGTGGCTGATTTCTTTTAGTTGAAAGCACAAAGTTTTATTTTTCCCCAGTATACCTATCAAGTAGGGTAGGGGGGTCCCCGTCTCCCCATTTTTTTTCTCTCTCTCTCTTTTTTTTTTTTTTTTTTTTGAGATGGAGTCTCGCTCTACCGCCCAGCCTGGAGTGCAATGGCGCAATCTTGTCTCACTGCAACCTCCACCTCCCGGGTTCAAGTGATTCTCCTGCCTCAGCCTCCTGAGTAGCTGGGACTACAGGCACGCACCACCACGCCCAGCTAATTTTTGTGTGTTTCTTGGTAGAGACAGGGCTTCACCATGTTGGTCAGGCTGGTCTCGAACTCCTGACCTCATGATCCGCCCGCCTCGGCCTCCCAAAGTGCTGGGATTGCAGGCGTGAGTCACCGCAACGAGCCCATCTCCCCATTTTTTTTTTTAGCACAGACAGCAGTGGCAGCCAGTGGAAGGAATTCTTCCCCTTCAACATCATCCTTCCCAAAGGCCACATTCTGTTTCTATTGTTCACTGAAACCTACTTCCCAGGGAAGCCCGTTGTGGATGGGAAAGATGAGCCACGTGAGCCATCGCCCACGCAGGGAGATAACTGAACCCCTTTGCCAGCATCACCCCCTCTCTACTGGGGTGAGACACTTCCTTCGGAGCACTGGCTCTGCCTCCCGGGGGAAAGTCTTTTTCCCTATACGACTCCTCACCTCAGCCTCACCTTGACTTTCATTTCTCAACTGCTGAATTCTATCAAAGAGCCTTTTAGCAGTGGCTCAGCTTTTAGGTGAGCACAAATAATGCAGGAAGTGAAGTGCCACCATTGTACTCCCCCAAGTTGGGGACATAAACTCGAATTTGCACCCGGGTCTGATAGAGGTGACTGATTGAGGACAGAGAGAGGTGGATGCCATTGACAGCGTTTACTGTTCCTCGCAATTCCTGTAGAAATGAAAGAACCAGAGGCGCAGCAGACCACACTGGGCCATGAGGGGAAGCACGGGAGACAGACAGAAGCAGGAGTGAGGGTGAACGTGGCTCAGACCCTCTACTGTGTGTTCTGCAGGGAAGGGCAGGGAAACAGCTTAGACTGGCTGATTTGAATAACAGCTCAGACGCTAGGCTGTATGGATGGTCTCTAGCTGTCTGGCACCTGGCCCTGGGTGATTTAGGCTGGGGGATATTGCCTCCTAGGTTGTAAGAGCCAGAGAGAGGAGGATGGCCTCTGGATTGGTCACTTTGCTCCCAGGGTAGCCCTTTGCTATGTCTAAGAATTGGCTCACCCTGGGACGGACAGTTTCTCCTGGGTCAGCGAGGCCCCTGAGATGTCAAAATATCATAACATGTAGAAATCATGGTTAATGCAATTGGTCCTCTGCTGTGTTGACATACTAAGGTCACTTGATAGCAAAACCTTTTAAAGAGTAGGGCATACGTTGCCCTGAAGAGCATAGAAAACGTTTTATTCTGAGAGTGGAAAGGAGGAAGATGTGGAGATACAGGAGTCCCTTAGGCTGGCCCATAGCTGGGTCTTTGATGTGTATGGCCTTAGTCAAGAACGTAGTTCTGCCGTTTTGGGGGGGCCTCTAACAATTTCGTGGTGCAGTTGTTCACATGTGTTAAACATAAGAGTCTGATGATGATATTGTGGTGTGTCTCGGCTCGTGGTGGCTAGTCTGGCAGTTGTGTGGCTGGGAGTGTGCACTGATAGTTCAGTAAAGGGTAAGTAGAGACTTGTGGTGTTTGTGTGTCACCCCAGGGAGGGGGTGGCTGTGGAGACGCAGGGCAGGAAGTCGCGGTGGAAAGCGGGCTGGGGTGGTAGGAGAAGGCACTGGGGGTGGGTGCTCCTCCCCCAGGGGTTGAGGAGTTGACTGATAGGGGGCAGTTACCTGCTGGGAAAGCAAGGCGCTCCCTTAAGTTTTAGAATGGCACAGAGAGTAGACCTTCTACCAGCGTCTCCATTTGGACGTGGGAGTGTAGGGGGCATGTTTTGGCAGAAAGCAGGGCGTGTATCAGCATTAGTGGACTCCTCAACATTTAAAGGAAGAACAGCAAAAATGTCATGTGCCTGCTTTGTGCCTCAGGAGAGGCAGCCCGTGGGCATCACCAGGGCAGAGATTCTAATATCTGGGACAGGTTATCTCCCCCGGCGAGGTTGTGGCTGGGGTCATGTCATCTTCAGCCATGAGCTGCTGGGCTGGGCAGTGTCTCCTGGGATGTGAGACTTGGGGTCTCCTTTCTAAGTGGATCCCCACTCATGCTGATGTGGGTCCCAGCATTCGCTGTGCTTGGTTGAAATAGTGGCTTAGCTGGAGGGTCTGGGCCTCTGGATCATAAGCCAGCAAAAGCCCCCAGATCAGTGGT